TGCATGCTACCAGGCTCTCCAACATAAATATCTGTGAAAATCTTTTGGTGATTCACAATGGCTTGAAGAAGGATACTGTGATAACCTTTTCTGTTCACATAATCTTCTTGATTCTGTTTTGGTTTATCAATTTTTATGTGGCAGCCATCTATTGCTCCAACTACCAAAGGAATCCTTTTTTTTTCTTGAAATCTTTGTGATAAATTTGGAAATTCATTAACATCAGGAAATTTTATGAATCTGCTATGAGTTTCCTTAAGAGCCATGATACACAATTTTAGGCATCCATGACATGCACTTTCTGAAACATTGAAGCGATCTGCTACTTCTCTGAAGGTATTCGTATTGGCTAAATACCACAACATCATGTGAACCATTTTTGCTTTTGAAATTTCCGGCCAACCTCCAATATACTTCTTTTGGATTTCTATAAGATCTGAAAATGATATTCATCAAGAGTACAAAATTAAATAATTGGTTGATACTTTTTTTTCATTGGAAGGCAAAAAGGGAATCTCTATTTTGTTGAAGGAATAGATCAAGGAACATGTGTACCTAGGGAGGATCAGGAGAGAAAGTAGGCATTGGATTTTTTTTACATTGGAAGATTATACATTCTCGGAAATACTCCCCTTGGCAAAGAATTCCAAAACTTTGCCATTCTATAGACAAATGGGTTCTGGTGAGGAGTTGTTCTGCATCTCAAGGTTGACGACAAAAGAATGTGCTGAATGAGCTTGTCAAATACGTTTCTGCAGAACATTTTTCCTGGAAAAGTGGGTATCTATAGGGAGAAGTGAAAAGTCGGCGACTTTTCAACTGTGTTCCAATGATGTCAAGGAATCAGTGAGTATGGCATCACCAACCAGGTGGAAGGCTCATCTCTGGATGAATTCTAATCTGAAATGTTGAAAGTTACCAAACTACAAAGTTTCTGTAAACCCTTTTGATCAAACCTGAAGGTTTAACCGAGAATTTTTTGATAAAGTGATATAAATAAGTTAAATGCCTACCTATACATTCTTAATATACATAGAAAAAATTGGTCAAACAGTTTTCATTATATTTGTAAGTATACTGCCTATGACAATATTATTGTCAAACCTTACCACAAAGTTTTTCAACAGAATTTCTAGTCATTCTGAAATGTCTTTTGAAGTCTTCATCAGAATACTGTTTTACAGTATTTTCAAAATAATTTTCTATCCTTGCCCTCTTCATTCTCATTATATCAGTATCACTGTCCAAGTCACTGCTATCACTACTACTGCTACTCAGATCTTCCACTTTTATTGAACTGGTTTTCATGATATTTTCCTATAGAAATTAATATTCTCTGTGAGCTCAAATTCATCATACCTGATGCCACATTTGGCCAAAAAAGTACTTCAAATTCTGGCTCAAATTATTGCTACGGGAAGCAATCATCAAAAGGTATACTCACCAAAACAAATTCCATCATATTCAATCCTTCACATATATTTCTAAATGTGTAATTATTATTAATAACAATATAATAACCTTATTGTTTGATGTATGTGACACTAGCGACAAACCGACAAACAAGATTCTTGTAATTAGTAATCCATCCGAACCTCTTCTTTCGTCTTAATCACGACAGCTAGATCGATGATACAAAAGTTCAGTTTCATCTTGTTCAGTTTCACTTTGATCAGTTCAGTTAGATGGTTCAGAACGAAAGAATATTACTCATTTGTAGGGTATAGTTCAGTGGTAAAACGTTAGTGCGAGTTAAGATGTTTTCTATGGGTCTATGTCCAATATTCGTGTCATGGGTTCTGTGTGACTTCTGCCTCATTCCTGTCAAAACTGTCTAATTTGTGGGATATGGTTTGACAAGAATCTTAGACAAGAATGACATTCGGAATGTCAAATATCGGATTTTTCGGATCTAATGGTGGATACAGATGACAGCTTACAACTTACAGCGGAAAGATGGATAATAAAGCGCGGACTGTTCACATGCGAAAAACGAATCAGAGCGGACTGTTCACATGCGAAAAACGAATTCAGAGCGGACTAGAAAATAATATATAATACTTTGGTTCCTGATATTAAGAGTCCTTTTTTGTAGGGGAATAGTGAAATCATATTAAGGTGGATATTTTGAAACCAAAGAAATTAATGGTTCTTCAAAACTCGTACTTTTGCCACCCTTATCAGATTCTGAAGTGTTTGACCGAGTGTTTGACATCACTATTTCGGTAGCAAGGTCAGTTCGTCGCTTCACAACAATTTCTGAAAAATTATCATCATCCACACCAGAGATATATCCTCGTCTGACAGCGTTCTCAACATATCCAAGAAGGATTTCATCATCTATAGAAATAATTATCAGGTTTGAATTCATAAGGACAGAATGTAATGATATTTAAATCTTCTGATACTGAGAAAGACACTGCAGTCCCTTTTACTTCAATACAAAACAAATTTTCCATTTTTTTTCCAGAATAAAGAATCAAAACAAAAATCGAGACAAAAATATTCAGTTTAAGGATTATGCTATCATGGCATATCAACAAATAAAAATATCAAATTTCAGCTTTTTTTTTATAAAATGTTCAAACTGTTCGAACTTTTTTCGCTTATTGACCTTGAAACGAACTTTCTGTCATTGCGACCAATCAGAATCCGAAGCGCTATAAGCTGAAATGCGAGAATTGACCAGCCCCGGGGTTCATCGCGGGAAAGAGAAGGACGTATAACTCGCTCTCGCTCAGATGAACCTTTTTTCTTGAAGAAGGAGAATTTTTCTTGAGGAAGGAAAATATTGTTTCTGCATAAAAAATGAGAAAACCTAACCTATTTATTTTATGAGTATATCTGTACTTGTTTCGTTGACCTGTGTAAAACTTAATGTTTATTAACACCAAATAAAATATTCTATTCTATTCTAACCTAACCTAACCTAACCTAACCGAACCTCACCTCTGGCCTAAACCACAAACATAGAAAACCCCTAAATGAACCTATTTCCCATAGAGAATATTTTTTAGAAATCACTTGAGAACAAGAAAAAAATAAAAAAAAGATGAGCCTCGCACGGATTCGAACCCCGGCCCGCCGGCTTGGCATGCCGATGCTCTGCCTACTGAGCCAACCAGTTGCTTACGAGACGAAGTATGATGAAGTACTGTGCTTCGGCTATGTGCCAAATTCATTCTCGCGAGTGAGAGGGCATTATATGTCCTTCTCTCTCCCGCGATAAACCCCGGGGCTTGTCAATTCTCGCAGCTGAAATGCGAAAAGCTGTAATCTGTACCCAGCACTAGAGCTTAGCCATAGCACCAGTGCGAGAATATTGCGCCTGGTGCGCAGGTCGCTGGGCGCGAGAAACAGAAAATTTCGTTGCTTGCTCGCTCGCTCGCCGAGCGCGAGAAGGGTTGCGGCCGTGCGGCGCGGGACAAATATTGGAGCGAAACAATAAAGATCATCATTGGTAAAAGAATACCCAATACCCTTAATTGGCGGCGAATCATGTATCACGGGAAGGAGATTTGTTGGTTGCCATTCGAACTGTTTCCAGAATATTATGTACTCATTTAATCATTTATCGTTTGACCTGCAAGTCTAGCGTTTCACACGTTAAAAATGCAATCGAACCTCGAATCGAACTGTTGTGCAGAATGTTCGAAAACATTCAGTTCTTTTCAAAATCTCAGAACTCATTGTTTGAAGTTACATCCAACAAAGATAGCCCCGTCGAAGAAAAGTGAGAAAGTGTTTTACCATTTTCAATATATTTAATTTAGATCGCTGCGATATTATTTTTGCAAGGGAAGGGGGAATTTTTGTGGAATTATATAATTATATATGTATATACCCAGATAGCACACACAAGTACCTTCTCAGAATATTATACGAATATTTTCTAGGAACGGTCTATGGATATACAAAGAGGGCTGTTCTAGATATTCTGAGAATGTTACTGGTAGGTATATTTATAGTAATAAAATTTAAAAAAGCTTGCTCCGGTGCGGGCTTGCGAACCTACATAGTTATTTACCTGTCACCTTAACCACTGAGCTACAGACCTTTTTAATGAATGATATGAATGGGAAGATCTCAACACTTAGTGGCATACAACCATTATAATAATGGGTTTGGTAAGGGGAACACTTTGTATATCAATACATGAATAATAACATCAATTTCATAATTTGATACGATTCTGTATATTCTCAGAATATTCGAAAAGAATATTCTTGTGTATCTATGTCAAATTGAATGTTCATAGAATATTCGTTGCAGGATGAAAATATTTTATGATCATTTTAAGGACATTATGTTAGAATATTCTGAAATAAGTATATTTTAACATTGTCATTCTAGAATATTCCATTTCAGAAGCTCATTGGAACATATTTTCAGAATATCATTAGTATATTCGCAAAGTATTCCATGAATGTTCACAATATTCTGAAAATATTATTTAATGAACATTCTGGAATATTATATCCCAGGAGCTTCTAGGAATGTACTTTCATGTAATACTATCAGAATATTCGCATGGAACATTCCATAAATATTCGCAACATACTGAGAACTTTCTATGCATATTCTTCAGAATATTATTCTAGAAGATGACATTTTCGCAGCTTGTAAGAATATTCTGAGAATATTCGTGCTATCTGGGGATATATATATATGTAATAATTATGAACAGTACAGTGTTAATTCAATTTGAATAAATTGATTTGAGGTGTGTCACGATTCTAGGGATCACCCTGTAACATGGTATCAACTAGGAAAGCAGTTGTCTAATGTATCATTTCACAACAATGACTTATTTGTTTTTGTTTCGCTGCAATTTCTCGCGCCCAGCGAGCAGCGAGCGACACGCAATATCATTTCACAATGACTTACCTATTTATTTTTGTTTCGCTGCAATTTCTCGCGCCCAGCGACCTGCGCACCAGGCGCAATATTCTCGCACTGGTGCTATGGCTAAGCTCTAGTGTACCCAGCAGTCAGCAGTGGTCGAACTGTCGATTGTCTGCATTTGGCACTTTTGGCAGAGAAACTTTCTTAAAAAATGAAAACAAATATTTGAAAAACTTTCTCAAAGAAAAAAGAATCTGACCAATGTGCTTATGGCGAAAATGCCTAATAAATATATGAATTGATTGACTACCAGTGGATATCAGTTTATTTCAATTAGTGACATAGGTAGGTGACAAATCCCAGTAATCGTTCACCAGACTTCCACATAGCAGGGGGAAGTGAGAATTTATATGCAAAATAAAAGACGTGGATCCTTTTTCAAGTTCCAAGTGAAATCAAATTGGGCATGTCACGAAAACCAAATAGTGCCACTGCTAGGCTAAAACAGGATTATCTCAGGCTGAAAAGAGATCCTGTTCCCTACATAACTGCAGAACCACTGCCTTCAAATATCCTTCAATGGTTAGTGTAATGTGTTCAGCATAAATTCCATTCTAATATGTGAAGATTAGTTGTAATCATATTCAATTTGTGAGAAAAAATGGGATCAGGGAAACACCTATCATGAATATGTATCTAGAGTGACTTGATGGATTTTGCATTTTTGTATATAAAGGGTGCACCAGAAAAATGCTCCATCAGTTCTACTGGATGAATTAGAGCTCAAAAAATCTACTTACATCTTTAATATGAAAATGCACCATTGAGCCATGCCATGAGAGTGCAATGAAGGATTTTTTAGGTTTACTTGAAATATTTGAACTTGAAGGAACTGCTCCAAATCTGGAGGACAATTCACTTGAGTGAGTGTCCAGGTAAGTATGCATGGAATACCTGTCATATGAAGGTATTCAGTATTTGGCATTGTGTTTGAAGGAAATCACAACTTTATTCCTACTAACCACATTATTTATTTCTGTGAATAACTCCCACTCACCTTGCATTTTCCTGAAATTCTGCATGGTTTACTATATATATATATATCAAACAAAATATACTTGAAAATATATTTGATGCTTTTTCATAATGATCAATATTTGCCCCTCAAAATTATTCATTGTTTCTTCCAAGACATTTGAAATTCTTGTTTTGCATGATAATCACCAACAGTCAATATTACTTTATACAAGCAGGGTTCCTTACCAAATGAGGAACATGATTTTTGTCCTCATTATTGTGGTGTCATCCTATAAGTCAATATTTCCCAGCAGTATATTAAATTGCTATCACACAATATTTCTTTCAATGCACATTCACCATAGTAAATTGTCCTTTGTTGTCCTCCAAATTTCAGAGTACCATTTGAAAAGTGAAATATTCAAATAATTTATCCTTCATGGCTTTCTCAAGGAGGCTTCATGGAGCATTTTCATATAGTGGTAAGCTAGGTGGTAAGTTGATTTAATTTAGTCCATTTTGAACAGTAGAATTTATTGCATGTTGCTCTTGGTCATCTTGTATACACATCAAATAGCTTCATATCTAGTTACTAAGCTCAGTACTAAGCTAAAATCAAGGGAGTATCAGATAAAAATACCAAGTATTTTTTTCACTTATACAAATCATCTAAATATACTGAAAATGGTTTTTAGGCATTATGTTGTAAGTGGACCAGAAAATTCACCATATGAAGGAGGATATTACCATGGAAAATTGGTCTTTCCTAGAGAATTCCCATTCAAACCTCCATCAATCTACATGATTACACCAAATGGTCGTTTCAAAACAAATAAAAAATTATGTTTGAGCATATCAGATTTTCATCCAGATACTTGGAATCCTGCATGGAGTGTGTCAACTATTTTAACAGGTCTTTTGAGTTTTATGGTAAGATTCTAAACTGTAACTAACCTCTGAATGAACATCAAAAATTCTTGCTGATTTGAGACAACTCCAAACAATATTGGTAGTCGAGTTGGTAGTTATGTGGAAATTGTAAATTAAGTAAATAATATGAGAAAATACCAAGAAGAGTAGAGAGTCTGTCTGGAAGCAATTTATATTTTTGCCAGTGAAAATAATTATGAATTTCGTGCCACTATTCCAACTCATTTAACTGTTATAAAATGTTGAAACTTATAAACTTATATATTAAAATAGTATATTTTATGCTGTTCATAAAATATTCCAACTAAATACCACTCGACTATGACGAATAGAGATTATTATTTTCTTTAATCCATCTCCAGTAACTTGTATTTTGAGTCAATTCAATTCAACCATTGGAAGTATAACACCTAAACCTAATCATATTGTAAACATATAAATACCTACTCTGGATAGAATTATGAAGAACTTTAAAGTCTGCTATTCATCATGATCTTGAGATATTACTGTTGAATATCAACCACATATTTGGCAGATAATATGGTTTTTCAATATCTTCAGCACTTGTTTTATAAATAATAATTTCAGGATGAGTTCCTTTTTATTCACTCACCAGCAAAAAAATAGGCCAGAATTGAATTTTGCCCAATTGATAGCCCTGTAATTTTTAATTTCTGTCAAATTTTGACGAAATTTCGAGAAAATCATAGATATATGTTTTGAAATGTTAGCCTGCATTTTAGTTCACGAGAAGATCATTTTACAGAGAAATATTTTCGGGAGTTTTGACGCTCTGCCACTAACTTAGATCAGTTCGAATCAGTGGCGTAACTTCATATTTTGGGCCCCCCCGCCAAAATCATTTAGGCCCCCCTCGAGACAAACCTTTCCAGTCTTAAGTCCCTTCTTTCCATGATCTATTAGTTATATGGAATAACCAACAAGCTTTTTTTTCTTTGGGTGAATAACACAACCATTTTCTTGGAATAATTTGCCCAGCATGACTTTTCCGTGAATAATAAAAATTAGAGAAATTCCTCTTTTAGAGAATTTATATCTGGTTGAGAAGGGCCATTATGAACAATAAACATTTTTATCGTGTTGCTATGGTGTTGCTCAATTCTCGTCCACTGCCTTTATCACAAGGAAATGATTTTTCGATTAATACAACTCCAGGAGTTCTCGCATTCAAAAATCTGGAATAATAGTTTTTCTTCCATAATAATTGCAGAGTCAACATCCATTCCTGTTTCAATCATCATACTGCTACTACTTGATGCACATTCATCATAATATTCAACTGTATTCTGCACTGTTCGCAGAAATGGAAAAATTATTCCTGTGGCATATTCATAATTAAAAAATATTCATGTATCAACCAATTTGGCTGAGTCCTTGCTCTGGTTGGTGGACCCAGGGCCACAGGGCCCCCTCCGAGGAACGGGCCCCCCGCAACCGCGGGGTTTCGCGGTATAGTAGTTACGCCACTGGTTCGAATCGCGGAACTTTTGGATATTCGCATCATCCCGTTTTATTCCCTTATTTGTTATCACATGACGGAAGTATGTCCGGAATAATAGCAGCAAATAAATCACTGAGCCGTGGATTTTGCTCATACTGAGGGGTGGCACAGGTAGGTTGAAGTCTACCTTTCAATTGGTATCGGATGGCATAATTCTTTTCTCGTTATCAAATCGCACAGGAAAGTGCAATTTTTCAATCATTTTGCTCAGGATAATGTTTGGCACAGGTGTTGTTCGATAAACAATGGTTTTACATGCCTTTGGGACAATAGTAGATTGTTTTATTAGGATCAAAAGTGACACTTTGTTTGACAAGCGAATTTTGCATTTGCGAGGCGGAGCGTTTAGCGAAGCCGAGCGAAAGCAAAATTTGGTTTTTCTGCAACCGAAACAATTAACTCAAATAAACATGTGAAGTATAACCACCAATGCCGTGCCATATGTATGCAATGCAACAAATATTGACAAATAATCCATGTGGTGAGAATATTCTACCTGCATTAACAGCAGGTTAGGTTTTCTAGGATGTTCGAATTGTAGTTTCAATATAAAAACAAAGGTGGATATATGTATGGTGAAATAGCTCCCTCTTACAAAACCCTAGAAATTTTTGTAGACCTCTGGCCTTCTTGATTATGTGGAATTCTATCACCGTAGTAAGGCCGCGCAAAACTAACGCTAGATGGCGCTGTTCCCGAAGTGATCTTGCTACACAATGGTTGTATTGTTTTGTTGTTTACATTTACGTATGATTCGTAATTCAAAAACATTGAGAAAAAGTGATTGATTTAATGAAGAAGACGTGAATTTTTCATTATATCTGTGAAGTATAAATGTGGCACTATGTTCCCTACGCCATCTACAGTCAATCTGGTGCGGCCTTGCTACGGTGTTTCGCGGTCTACACGTTTTGGAAAGAAACAATTGACAAGTGGTTACACCAGTCTATTTTCATAATGATAAAAACCTACAACCACAGAGTGACATATTTGTGTATGGACCAGGTGCTCTAATGGCAAATACCGCGCCAGTGCCAGCTATAGGAACAAGACGTGGAAAATGTTAGGTTAGTGAGCATATCAACAATGATAATAGTGATTATTTATTCCTCTCCATACTACACTGTGTTTGACTTGATAATCAAATGAAGCTAAACAATATCGTTGTTAGAGACAAAAAAACTATTGCTTGCCGTGATTATTCAAAAACAAGTTATCCATCCCGAGAATAACGAATGAAATACAGATCAAGCAAGTATTTGAATCTTGAAGGCTTCCCTGATCAAAACAAAAATACTTAACTGAGATGTTTATAATTCCGATACTAAAATATAATAAGGTGTATTTATATCTCCAGCATGGGTATGAAATGCCAAATCTGCTGAAATCGGAAACAAATCTGTATGCGTCTCAACCCAAATAACCAACCGTCACAATGTTGTTTATTCTTGGTGACGTCCAGTACATCCTGTTTAGTTCCTAGGAGCTCAAGTTCAACTTTAGCTCCTAGGAACTAAAATTCAACTTTAGCTCCTAGGAACTAAATATGTTGCCTAGCAACATACCTATTTTTGTGTCAGTAATAGAAACGTCAATTTAAGAGCTAATTTTGGTATCAAAATGGACGACTTTTGTGTCGGTTGCAGAAAAATATCATTTCGTTATCTGATGGCGGTCGAAATTTGAAGCCGGCTCTTGGTCTATAAAGAAGCCGTTTTTCACTCTAACAAATATTTCATTGAAGGTGCATTGTACGCTAAATGTTCAATGTTCCACATTAGGAACTATAAAACATTCTAACCACCGTTGTTCCTGTTTTGGAACATTGGGGAATTTACAAAATAAAATACAATAATTCATTCAGTAAATTCAGCTTGCAACTTTATACAGGGTGCCCCTAAAAGGTCTGTACAACATCTTAGCACACATTCCTGACGTCAAAAATAAGCCGATTTAAAACAACTTGCCTCAGTCCGAAATTGCTCCGTTTCTGAAATTCAGGTTGGTGAAGTTGAAAACTAATGCATTAAAAGTAAAAACTGCTTTCATTTAAACGCTTTAAAAAGAAGAAAATAAAATTTTCCTTTAAAATTTTAACTTCATTATGAACAATTTATATGATCATAAAAGCTTTTCGCGATGATCAATATCTAATTAAATTGAAATTAAAAAAAAATTAACAGCAGATTTCACATAATCAAATTGGTACTAGATTATTTACACAAGTGAAAAAATCAAATGAAATTTTATTCGAGAATAATATATGAATGATATATTTGACGGGCTCTATAGAATTACGGAAAAAAAATATGGACCATTCATTTGAACCACAGATCCAACAAACTTGTACAAAATTATTCCAGAAACGCTTTTGAATGACCAAAATATGGTGAGAATTACGAGGATAAAGGGGGGTGACACATTTAAGTGGGACACCCTGTACATATGTTGTACATACCTTTTAGGGACACCAACATACCTGCATTCTTGTTATTGTCCTATATTGTCAAGAATTTTCAAAAAATAAGCTTTTAGAAACACCTCACGTGCTGAATAACAGCTTATGATGAAGCTGCTGTTTCTATATCTAGTAAGAGTACATAGATGGCACCAGATAAAAGTTTTGAGCATAGATTTCATTGTTCCAGTTTAGGATTTCTTTACAGCGTTCCAATAAGGAACATAGGACCTTGAGGGATTGAGAAGTTTATGGTGAAATAATTTACGATTTGGTCGAAATTTCATCAGAATCGGACAAGAATTAAAAGATTAACAGGCTATTTTTGCCGGTGAATGTCCATCTAATGATCCATCATTATTTCTAGTTGGAAAAGAGTCCAACTTTGGGCAGTATTGAAACAACAGATTTTGATAAGAGGCAGTTTGCTTATCAATCATTGGAATTCAATTTGAAAGATAGGCAGTTCTCCGATTTATTTCCTGAAACTGTAGAAGCAATACAGGTGAGTCTATATGAAAATGAAGTTCTAACTTGTGAACATTCATCTTCTTCTTCAATAATTATTCATAAACTGTCTTGCAAAAAATCCAGACTTCAAAATTTATCCCTCCCACCCAATTTCTACTAATTTCAAACTTTCAAACACTTGATTCTGATGATTTTGTTAACTGAGTTGATATATCAAATTGGGGCAAATTTTCAGTTTCTGGTTGTTTTGAGGACAATGAATATTGTTCATATAAATTCAACGTCATGAAATAACAGCTTGAAATGCTACTTTATACTGATGAAAAATATGAATTTTATTTAGTCACTATATTTCCTGATATCAAGTCCAATATGTGTTGAGAAATATCCTAGATGAAATGGAATAATTCTAAAATTGCGTTCGTTCTCAAGTCAAAAAAGACTTTTGTAGCAGTTCATTTTTCATTTCTTTATTCTAATGAAATACCCAATGTTCTGAAAAATCTCAATTCTATTACCCCAAACAAAGTCAAGCTTCTTGAACCATATCAATTTAGGAAATGCTCCGACATTTCCTAGAAGAGCGTCTAGGTTACTGTTGGATTTGAAAATGAAGTTGAAACTAAAGTCATCAAGAAATTGTAAATTAGGAATTTTTCAATTTTCTTGAGTGATGTGGGAAACTGTTTTCCACAAAAATATATATTCTGAATGCTCATTTTGATGAAGAAGGTCCATAGTGTGTCAGGGAGTTGACCAATTTTAGCCTTTTCTTTTCCAGTTTTCACGGATAGAGTAAAAATCAGAATTCTTATATACCCTGTGTGTGATATCATTCTTCAGTCGAGTTCCTTACATAATGTACAGGGTCCTTTCATGGACGTACCATTCACAAACTTTCACAGAATTAGTTCAACAGGATGATTTTAGCAGTTTTTTCAAGATCAAGAAAGTTTTTGATATTTCATACAATTCCATAAGCATAGTTTCTTCATATTATTTGTTTTCAAAGCAAAACATGAAATTTGCAACTACCACCAGCAGCTATCATCATAATATTAGCACATTTGATAGTCTCAGTCATCGTCAAAAAACCAAATGTTTTTTGTAAAATTTTACATAATATATCTGAATTATAGGCGGAAATCGCTAAGAGGAATGCAACCCAAAATGTGGCATTGGAAAACCAAAAGTCCCTGCAAACAGCCTCCCAGCCAAGTAGTTTACAATCATGTATTACCAATTTATGTGTTATCATTGGATTCGCAGCCTTTGCTTTCACTGTCAAATATGTGATGAAAACAACGGCTTACGAAACAGAATGATGAATGTATGATTATTTTATTAGAGGGTCAAATGTGGGAAACTATTCAATGAACAATTTTGATATTCTTGGTCTATTATTAGATCTATCTGTGTAAATAATGGCTTTAGAAATACGTTTATCGACTCATCAGGAGCTCATTATGTAATTATGTATAGATATAAAATTGAGTTCTCAGAGTCCTCTCTGTTTGGGAGCAATTGAGAAATCGATCAGATTTTGTAATCAAAAGTAATGCAGATTTGAAAATCTAATTTGAAAATTGCGGTATGCTTCAAAGATTTCGTAGCAAATATTATAAACACTATGGAAAACTGGCCCAAACGAGTTCATTCAATTTTCTTATAGTTGACGTAAACATGCAATGGCGGATTTCGATTCAAGACGCAAACATAATTTTTTTCGTGAAAACCTCTTGCTGTTTCTTCTGTGAAGTTTACTAGTCGAAATGACTAAATTATAATCATTTGTCAATTCATCGTCATATCATTAAGAATAATTATATCGGAATTCAATTGTCATTACTGAATCTACTGATTATTTGTTCCGAAATTGAAAATTTCACTGAAAGTGACAGTTCTCGAGAGCAAACATACTATCCATTCTGAATATTTTCGGCTCAGATTTCTGTTGAAGTTACCGATCACCAAATGGTTGTGTGGAGTCAGCAATCTGTCAATAATGATATTAGGACATAAAATTGTAATAGTTGGCTACATTATCATGATTAATTTATGATTATCAAAGGCTATATTCCGAATTCAACTATTCAGTACTGCCAGTAAATCCACTGACTCGGCTGAAAATCTGTGGTCCGAAATATAAAATCAAAAATACAGTGCTGTAATTTGGAACATGTTTTCACGGTTTTTATCAGTAATCAGCAGTAGTTTATCAGATGGTAAACTTTGTCAGTTGTCAGGTTGTCACTTATGTATAATTTCCTGTTCATCTGAACTAGATATGATTTTCAACGTCAATTATTTAAATACAGGCATTTTCTGATATTAAAAATGATACTTTCAATCTCTCATTGATAAAACAACGGAAATAAATGAGACATTCCTTTCCTCTCTAAAGTAATGATAGTTCACTGAAGCAACACACTACCTTTTGATAGTGTGTCAGCAGAATGTTGAGTAATATTTCGAATGAATAGTATGTCTGCTCACAAGTATCTGTCACTTTCAGTGACATTTCTTATTTTGGAATGAAAAATCAGCAGATTCAGCACTGTCAGTTGAACTCGGAATATAGCCAAAATAAATTATTTAAATCAAGACATTTATACATTCTGGTAAGTTTTTTACATAATAAACTCCCTCAGGTCAGAAGTGCCTGAATCTTTCGAACCATTCCCATCACGTGATATGTTGAGATTCGTGTTTCTTATGATTATTTTTCGCGATAAAATTGTGGAGGCTGAGTTCTGGTCCACTAATAGCATATGGCGTCAGCCCACCATGGTCATTTTGTATAGTGATTTAGGCTTTCAAGGATGTTATTCCTTCGTCTCAAGACCCCGAGGGTCTCATTACTAATTCCAAGTTTTTCTACGAGCGAATGCGCATGCGCCTATAATGTATCAGGTGATTCAATGTGACCAATCTGACAATGGGGTTTGGGAATGGTTCGAAAACTATAGGCCCTCGTCTCAGGTCGATCATATAGGTACTTTTGTTTTGAGTGTCCACTGGTCATTAGAGTAATATTGGCGGAATACATTCCTGATGGCATAATTTCATGAACATTTAATATACACCAATCACATTTTATTGGAAAGAAATATTCTCAGATAATAAATATATTGAGATTTCGTATACCCAATCAATGGGATCAAACTTGAACGATGGAAATTTGCTTTTACATACCTCTAATCACATAATTGAAGAGGGAAGTGGAAGGAGTTATGTCAGGAATATGCGTTTGTGAGAAAAATAGGTTTTAGTAAAGTTAGCTGGGATTTTCTGATGAAAGCTAGTTTAATGATTTGATTTATGCAGTTGTGAGGAATAGTTTAGGTTGTTTTTAAGATTCACCTCATTTTGCTATCATATCATTTTTCGATATACATTATATGGATTCATGCGTACATAACCCCTTCTTCTTTTTTTACTTGAAGAAACACTATAACTTCAACATGGAATTTTTGATGGAGTTGTATCAGGTACATGTGACTATTTTCTCGCATAGAGTTTCTTGATCGAATTCTTCCTGATTTGCATCACTATCAGATCAGGTTATCTATCGTGTGTGAAATCTTAGCCAGTAGTAAACTTACATTCCAAAATACTTCACCTCAAATTCCTAACACCATGGAATATGAGCATACAATGTGACCAGGATAAAGTTGCACAGCATGGAGAACTCAGAAACGGGAGTTGATACGAATTCAGTTGAATGTGAAAAAAGTTGCGCATTGAGGGGGTCATACCAACTGTCTTCGAAAATTTCCAAAATTATTTTTAGTTTTGCAATAAAATCGGAAAAAGTGAATTTTCGGAAAATCCATTTTATTTTTTCTACGTTATTATTAGAGATTCTCCTTCCGACCAAGGTAGTGGCGATCAAGTGGTCTGGTAGTTTGGTTAAGGTGTGTATAAGTTCAAAGTTTCTCTAAAATTACCTGATCTGGATGAAAAATTATTATTCAATGTGAAGTTTAATAAGTGGGTGTTGAAAATATCAGCTCCCTCTATCTCTACGCCGGTAACCAGGCCGGATGATGACGGATTTATCGGATAAGGGGAAATACTTGAAGTCAAACGTACTCCATTATCACTCGCCGGCACCCAGGCCGGATAACAACGGATTTGTTGGATTAGAGGAGTACATGCGAACATTGATGGACTCGGCTTCCGGCCATGGTAATAGACAATCGGCGTTTTATTGGTCGAGTCGAATGATAATTTAATTACATAAACATTGTTTGCCATGTCAATATAACTTCTGATACAATTAAACTTCTGATACAATTGAACATGTATTTATCGATAAACACACTATCTCTTGTATGTATGTATTTACCCCCGATAACTAAACTTTGACAACACGAACGGTAATTAAAATAAATAACATTCATAACAAATGTTCAAAATTATAACCATTATTTTCTAAACAAAGATATTCTTTTCTTACATTTGTTTCTAAAACATTTCTAAGCATTTCTGCTTCAATACTATTACATGCTTCGATAACCCTGCCCCTTATTAGTTCTTTGTCGTTATCAACATTATTTGCGTAAACAATATTTTTTAATTTATACCTAAAGAAAAATATCCAGCGGGGTGTCCATTCGGGTGATCGCGCCGGCCAAAGGACTAGAATAAGTTTAGTTACCAAGATAATTCCTGTAAGAATCCATCCATATGAAACAATAAGAAGCGCTGCATTAAATAATTTATGAAATATATATATTTTCTTTTTACTTTTCAGTATTAAATAACTACTCCATCAATGTTTGACACTGAATAATCAGAAATAAGTGGAACTGATAGTATTTCCTCTCAAATTTCTGATAGACATTAAAGATGGCAAAATTAGGTCGAAACACCATCAAACCATGGTTGAAATCAGAATAAAAAATACGAATATCAAACGTCGCGTTGAGAAATCATTATCACCTCGTTAAATATCATTAAAACGTGCTATGGAAAAGCATTCATAAATTCTGTATCGCTACTAATAACGGATAAAAAAAAAGTAATATACGTAACAATTCCGGAGCCGTAGGCGATTCAAAAAAACTGTTTTTGGACGTGTTGCCTACACTGTTTTTCCAGCAACCATATAGAATAAATCAGTGAGACACATTTCCATATCATATTTATTTTTTAGAATACAATTTCTTCTTCATTAATTCTCATTTGTATCAAATACTGAAATTTGAACAGAATACCTATACCTACTAGCTGTTACATTGGAAATTTCGTATGGACATTTTCAAACTCACTATCGCAGCTGCTTTCGATAGTTTATGGCGATAATTGCAACCAAACTTTCAAAAATCAAAATGTCAACTAATTCTATGTCAAATAGCTGTCAGCCGATATTTCCCTGCTATGGTAACTATCATCTGCATTTATCAAAACCATATCTACCACGATTTTCATAGTTACAGTGACAACAACGATGCGATACTTAAGTCGTACTTCCCGGACTAGGCCAGAAAAATGCTACTATCTCAAAGAAAAAGCGTCCGGGAAGTGAGCAAATTTTTTCCCATTCAACCGAATTGGTATATCCTCAGGGCCGGATTAAGACCACTTGGCGCCCGGGGCACAATATATTTTTTCGCCCCCTACACATTACAAAAATGAAAAAATGGAAAATATAAGTCTTCTTGAATTGTCTTCTCATATTAATATTGACACTGACAGTGACAGATGTTGATGTAAACGAATGAGTTAGGTACACGATGTTTCCATTAATTTATCTTGAATTTTTCATTTTCATCAAATTCGAGAAGAGGGATATTTTTTATTTTTTATGTTGAAAACGGATTGGTTTCTAAAATGTCAAAAGCTCAGTTAAAATTTGATATTTTGTCGATATAACTCGTCTTCCAACATTTGTTGAAACAAGGCTTCACCGAGAATCGATTGAATTTTTCTTTTAGGTGCTGTAATAGGAAATGTTCAAACGCAGTGACATTTCCGAGAAACAGAGTGTTGACATTTAAAAACGAAGATCGTTTGTTCGAGTATCTCTGGAACACATAAAACAGCTTTTGTAAACATTTATTACTCATAATAAGATATGTTTCATGCATTTTTTTCATTCTTCTGAAGTAATAATTGGTGAATATGTTGAAGGGGTAGTAGGTTTTGTACTCCCAAACTTCTACGTCCCTGGGAAAAAAATCAGTTTTGAGCCGTCCATTTGAACTGTCAATGTTGTTTTCATAAAAAATGTGCTCCTGGTCATAAACTCTAAAGTTGACTGTTTTTGAGAAAAATCGACTTTTATGTAGAAGAACTTGACAAATTTTGGTGATTTTTTGAAGTACTGTTTTTGTTGAAGTATGGTTTGTTGTTTTTTTCTTCAACTTTGCGATTATGAAGTTAACGTTAAAATTTGTTACTTATTCTGACATTTAAATGGATTTTGTTTAATCAGTAGTAAAATACAATTTATTTCAAAAAGTTCACCATGTTTCTCAACAAAAAAGTTGATTTTTCTCTAAAACGGTCAAGTTCAGAGCTTATGATCTAAAGTACCGTTTATGTATAGAAAATATTCGCGGTTCGAAACTGTATTTTTCCCAGTGACGCAGAAGTTGGGGATAAAAACACCCTCTACCCTTTCAAAATCTTCACCAATTATGACTTTGAAAAAATGAATTCCGCACGAAACCTATCTTATTATGAGTACAAAATGCTTACAAGAATAGAAATTTTCTTAATTTTTTTTGGACAAGCTATCAGATCCTGGAGTCTTGCGTATATATTACATCAATTTTGTTAATTTTCTATATTTTTCTTATATTTAATAAAATTGTGAATTGAATGAAATGAAATCCTTCATCACTGAGAAACTCTCTTGTTTTT